CCTTGAGTTTACTCCTTTGTATCACTCCCAAAAATTATTGTAGATTTAACTATATAACATGATTTCTGAACCAGAAAAGGTTCTTATAAATTTATGGGTTATGTGACATGATCCTCCTCAATTGTTTGACCATCTCATCCCTGACTCTTCAATAGTTTCTATTAAGTTTTTCTTAACTCATTGTACTGTAAGCTGTCTCCATCCAAGTGGTCAGAGGGCCTTAAAACACAATGGCCTGTAGACTGAGCTTATTGCTCTATCTCCCAACCCTTTTTTCTGTTTGTAGATAGTGCCATCCAGTTGCTGATTGAGAAGAGCAGGAGGCATCATACTGTTATGTTTCCCAGCTCTACGTTTAAAGAGTCTCGCTTTCTTACCACTGTGTCGGCACTGCCCTCGCTGCCTCTCCCATGTGAGCCACTGCAGAAAGCCCTCTGGCTCTCCATTTCCCTCCCCTTTTCTGTCCTTCTCTTAAAATACTCTTTCAAAAGAACTTTTGATGCTGCTGCTTCATGTCAGTGACTGCCCGGAATGACAGTCTTCTGTGGGCTGCCCGCAGGCCACTCCTCACACAGCTTCCTGAACTAGTGCCAGTTTTCCAGACAAGCAGATTGTCTAAAATTCCTTCCTTTAACAAATGTCCTCCCAATATAAAAGTTCAGCTCAAGTGTCCCGTAATTTTAGATAACTTTTTCTGAATCTTTTTATTTCTTCCCATTCAAAGCTCAACATGTAGTAGAGTTTGTAGGAATGTTGGTCTGTTATAGTATTAACACGTTATTGTATGTAATTTCTATTTTCATCTCGCCAACTTGTAGGGTCCATGAAAGATGATAAGAAAATATTCTGAGTGATTAACTTTTCAAGTTAAATAGCTAAATTGTCCTTTGTTGAAATGATAAAATAAACTAATCTATTTTTATGGGTTTTCTATTCATGTCACTTGCTCTAGAATCTTTCAGAGGCACAACTGCTTTCTTAGTGTTTCATTATTCAAAAAATCTTTGTATTATATGCTATATTCATCTACTCAGGAATGGATGACTACATAGTGGTGTGATTTCCAAATGAGCACACCTGATCAATCATTTTGATGTAGTAAACAAAAACATTGTACCATTCGTATCAGAAAACATTCCGTTTTCTATTACAGATCCAGCCTTTAAGCTGTATTGCTTATATCTATTTTATTACCAATAATATCAAAACTTCAATAAGTAACAAAGGTAAATGCTTAGTGCTATCAATATTTAAGTAAAATCCAAGACATTTTAAAACTGTTCATGAAATCATTTATGAGTGAATAGTTTTATTGAAGATCATAAGAACTGATGATATAAAATGCAGTTCTTGATCTCATGCTATCATATTGAATGTAATATATAAATTATGTAAATTGAAGTTTATGTATATTCATTGTGTTCATTTCAAGACATTTTGACAAATGCATACTTTTTTCCCAAAAGTATGTGTGCCAGTAACTTTTATATACCACTTATTTTTAAAATGTACTTTTGCCAGGTAATGGTTTTATTTTAACTGAGATAACAGATTTTTCTCAGATGTTTCATGTTTCAATTTGAATAATATTGTGTCTTCTATTATAAAATGCTGTGGGAATCTGGAATTCATGTACCACTAGTTTTGATTCATCGTGTCTCTTGGAATCTCTCCTATGTGAGAAATGGCCTTGAGCAGATGTGCTTAGTCATAGAATTGCCAGACAGCTCCTTATGTGTTGGCAGCCAGCTTCCTGAGCATAGAAAATGAAAACAGGTTCTAGGATGAGGATAGAGCTTGCCTGCCATTTTTCTGTCTCTTCACGATGTTTAACCTTAATGTTATCTAAGGCATGGCTATATTATACGTTTTCTTTAAATTTTATTTTTCTTAGACTTTGAAGAACAAAGACTATTCCATTTTACTTGTAGAATACATGCATGGGTCATGAGTAGACCTTGGCAGTAAATAATATTAAGATTTCTTGTTTCAGGAGTTGGACAAAGGGAAAATAAAAATATACAGTGTTATCCATAAGTTCTAAATCTACTAAGAGATGACTGATTATTTAAGAGTATTTTACTAATATTTAAAACTGTCTTTGGCGAATATTCTGAAGTTTTGCAGCTATTTCGGTTGTGCTTTGGTCTTGTATGCTGTGTGAGAAGCATAGACTGTGTGCTCTGCCCTGCGTTTACATTCTGTTCCTACATCGCCTTAGTCCAGTTCAGCTGGTTAGCAAGACCATAGAGTGAAATAGGTTGGAAACATGATATAGTTATTTCTTTATAGTTCAAGAAGATGGCAAGGCCAAGATCAAGACACCAGCAGGTTCGATGTCCATGGGGGCTCTGGTTTACAAATTGCACCTTCTTGGTGCGTCTTCACATGGTGGAAGTGGCTCCGCTACCACCTCATCACCTCCCAGAGCATCCCACCTCCTGATGCCATCACCTGAGATTGTCTCAGGGCTGGACTGTCACAGGATTTTAGCATGTAGGTTGTGAGAGCACAGGGGCATTCAGACAAGCAGCGTCTGTTTACTGGTGGAGGGTTTTGAAAAGTTGCTAATTGCATGAAGCTTAGTTTCCTCATCTCCAGTGGGTCTAACACTATCTTAGAAGGTCATCCATTCTCCTTTAGCATCCAATCTATCTAGGTAGGGAAGTATTTTCTCATAGCATTTCTATAACTATGCCTTGTATTCCTAAGGGTTAATTCTCTTTTGCAGGGTTCTTTTGAATCCTCCTATGTCAGAACTTGCTGACAATTCTCAGGTTATAGTTTTCTTCTTCCATCCTCTAAAATTACTTTGAAGAATCTGTTTATTTTACTTACTGTAGAATTTCCTCTTCTATTTTGTATTTGTTTCTGATTTTCTTCTCTGACCTTTGGGGCCACTTCTCAGCCGCCTTTGTCTTCCTGATGTCCTCATCTGACCCACTGAAAATAGGTATTTCTTAAATTTCTATTGCTTTTACTCAATTCCTCCTTTCTTAACGTCTACTCTACCCAAGTTCATTAATTTCAAAAATAATGTTTCCCAAATACATATAGTTTGTGTTGGTCTGCCTGTTGACCTCAAAACTTGAATTACTAGGTCAGCTATTTGGGGGTTTTATTGTTTTACCAGGGTCTTGCTCGGTAGCCCAAGCTGACCTAGAGCTCATTAGATAATCCAGGTTGGCATCCAGTTTGTTATCTTCCGGTCTCAGCCTCCTGTATGCTGGGATTATATTCATGTACCACCTTACCTAACTAAACTTTGTATTTTTCTGTAGCAGTTACTCTGCCTCTGGGGAGAAAGAATATTTTAGGGAGCAAAGGAGATTGCTCAGTTAGTAAAGTTTTCCTATGCAAGCATGAGAAAATCCTTATAAAACAGACAGATAGGCAGGGTGCTATATTCCAGTGCTGGGGAGATAAAGATGGGGATCCCGAGGCTCACTGGCCAGCCAGTCCAGCCTAATAAAAGAGGCCCAATACTTCTATAGTAGTAAATTGTGTGTGTGTGTGTGTTTTATTAAGGCTTCCACAAATCATTACTCTAGGATTGTCCATACCTGAACAGTGAATGAGTAAAACATGAAGACACAGTGGTGCTTATAGGTGATGTTTTCATCTTCTGCTTTGCACGCATTTATTTGAGTTGCATTCCATCTTCTGTGAGCTCATAGTTCCACAAGGAAGAATCCATGTAGTATTAATTTTAATGCAATGTGATCTTTTAATATGCAAGGAATTATTATTATAAGGATTGCAACTGGGATATTATGTAGACAAAACCAATGAGGACTTGACAAGGGAAACTTTTAACTTGGTAAATGCTGAAAAATTAGGAAAAGAGGGAGAGACTTATGCAATAAAAATGGAAAAATAAAGAGTGTCCTCAGGAAGCACATGTCTTGTATGTTCTCTGTTAAACCTCAACAGAGTACATGGGAGGAACTTCCAGGAGATGAGACTTTGGGACTAACTGATAGTGACCGTTTTTCCATATACAGCTATATAGAATTTTAGTCAAAAATAATGAAAATAAAACTTTCCATTTTGACTGAGAAATCTAGAAATAAGTTTTAAGGTGGAATTTTAAGCCTGAAGCTGGGCCTGGTGGCCCCTGCCTGTAATCTCAACACTTGAGGATAGGGAATGGACGCCGGGATCATTGTTCAGACCAGCTTCAGGCCTTTAAATCCTGTCTCAACAAAACACAGGAGGAGTTTGGGGAATCAGTCCTTAGAAGTGATAATGGTGCTAAAGGTTGAGCCATGAAAACAGAGAGGAATATGAACTTGGCAATTTAGAAGTTGCCTGATTACTTAAAATCAGATCAAAATAAGGAAAAGATCTATTAATAAGAGAATTTTTGTTCTCATGACAGTTGGTCGGGTGGTTTCATCACTAATAGTAACAGCACTGGGCTCAGGATGCCAGTGCTCGGCATGCTGAGATCCTCCCAACAGATGTTTGCAGTCTTACATTTAATTAGAGTTTACAGGGCACTTTAATGTACCTTATTTTCACTTGTCCAGTGACCCATGAAACAAATAGAAAATGCAACATTATAATCTTTCTGAAGGTAAGAAACCAAATTGCTATGAGTATTCAGATTTTACCCAGTTTTGTAATCATTGCTTTCAAGCTTTAAGTTCATTCTCATAGAAGCCAATCAGTAGTATTTTTCTAATTAGATAATTGAAGAAAGAGTAAATATAGTTAAATTCTTGCTATACTGAAATTCTCATTTAAACATGATCAATTTTTTTCTTAATTAAGATTGTTTGTACATTAAATGTAATTTGTCCAAATAAAGTATTCTTCATTATACCCCTCTATAATTAGCTATATTTTTCTTATTTATTTTTACATGTATTTTATTAGCAATAAGAAAATGATTCCAAATTTACCTTTGGGATCCATTTTTAGTTACATAAACGTTGGTGATGATTTTACAAAATTTTGAACTTTCTAACATAACATGAATTTTCTTTCTTCTTCAGGCAAGCCAAGTTAGATCTGAGAGTTGCAGTCACGAAAGTGGAAGAGTTAACTAAAGTGACTGAAGGTCTTCAAGAACAGATGCTGAAGAAGGTATAACCTTGGCAACCACTTATTTCCATTGACTGAAGCATAGTATGTTAAAACATCATAGTGTGAACAGATCATTAAAATGCAATTTATAGTCAAGTTTTACTTAACTTATCCTATGCAGATGGAAGATAAACATCTAATACCATAGTGTATATTGTTTATTAAAGTTTTTATTGTCTTAACAGGCTGATAAATCATAGAGAACTTTAAGAACAGTATTGAGGAAATGTCAAGTTTTGATTTAGAAGGATATTATTCTTAAAATTCTGATAGTTATTACTGTACGATATCTAAGCCTGATTTCTTAGAAGTAGATTGTAGATTTCCTGTAGTGATAGAGTAGAATGGAGAAGCATAAGAGCTCTCCCACAAATAATATTTTTTCAGGCATGGAAAACATAAAATAGAAACAAAAAAAGTAAGAATTCCTGAATTTTGGATTTCCAGCCTGATGTTTCTTCCATTTGACTTTTCAAAAAATAGCTTTATAGTGAATTAAGCACTCAAAACCAAACTTTAGGCCTGCAAGAGCCATTGGCCTTTTTAAAAGGACACGCTGACCACAAGAAGACCATGAAAGGAAAAGAAACCATTCCTCTCAGTTCGGATTCGTATTAATCTTTTGCCTGATAGCCAGGTTTCACATACGGACAGTCGAGAGCAGACTGAAGCCTCACTCAGCAAGGTAGAAAGACAGTGATCAAGTACATCCTAGAAATACAGTGAGCTTCAGAGAATATCTTATTTGAAGTATCTTATAGAGGACAAACCCCAAAGTTGGAAATTACAGAAAATAAATTTCTAGTGTCAAGGAAATCACAGTGAAAGTAAACCCTACCTCTGCCCCATCTGGATTGCCCCTCACATTAGGTTGGGGACACTCCATAGAACCTGCCTATATAAAAACAAAGGTGGAAATCAGCAAGAACTAGTCACAGATACCAACTGCTGTGTACTGTAGAACAAATTTCAGAGATCACATATAAACAAAGTTGTTTCCCACTTGAATAACACCTCACTGTAGTCCATAATATCAGTCCTCAATATATTGTTGACCATAGCCAGTTTTCAACCAAAAATTACTAAACAGGAAAGTATAATCTATGCTTGAAGGGCAAGGATTAGGGGGAGTAAGGATAGGCCATCAATAAAAGTTTTCTTTCAGTGGACCTGGTTGTTTAATGTAGAAGACCGAGCACTGGGAATTGATTGTTACATTTATGTTTAAGATGGGTTGGAGACACAGCTCAGTAGTCAGTGGTCTGTTACTTGCCTTGCGTGGGTGTAATGATGAATCTTCTCAACATGATGGGATTTAGAATCTCATGGAAAAAACATTTTGGATATCTGAGGGAATTTCTATATTAGGTTAATTGAGGGGAGCAGACAACATCATCCCATGGACTGAATTCCTGTACTGAATAAAGAGGAAAAAGTGAGCTGAGCACGAGAATTTAATTCTCTGTACTCCTGATTAATGGTGAAAGATGACCAACTACTCCATGCCCTTCCCTCTGTGTCGTCCCTGCTGTGAAGGACTCGGATCCCCAAACAGAGGCTGAGACAAACTTTCTTACACTTGTTTTTGTCACAGCACCAAGAAAAGTAACAATATAGTGAGCAGTGTCTAGTCAGTCTCCCTGCAGCTCTATGGATGGATGGATAGATAGATAGATAGATAGACAGACAGACAGACAGACAGACAGACAGACAGACAGATAGATGAATACATGAATAAAATTCAGTGAGGCATAGTGTAGTGGTACACACCTATGACCTCAGCACTTGGGAAACAGAGGCAAGAAGATAAGGAGTTCAAGATCATCCTTGGCTACATAGTGAGTTTAAGGACCCGCCTGAACTACTGTATAAGATCCTGTCTCAAAAAAGAAGACTGCTTAAGAAATTGTTTTCTTTTTTCCAAATTTTTTTAAATTAGAGTAAAATAAAGTCTAAATGAAGGAAAAGGTAGAAAATTTTGATTGTGAGCAAGAAAACAGTTTTAAAATAAAAAGTCTAGAACTTTTATAGTAACTGGAAAAAAGTTCACTGGATAGGCCCAAAAATAGATTTTAAAAGTTAGGATAAGCAAGGAAGTTCAACAGAGAGCATTAGAAATTTATTAGTCTAAGAACCAGGTTCAAATATTTAAGAGTTTTGTATACTAGTATGAAATAGTCCAACATAATTGCAATTGGAGTTCCAGAAAAGAGAAAGGCAAAAAACAACATGAAGTTAGAAGAAAATATTAACAAAAATATTAATGACCCCTAAAGAGGATGAACAACAACATCTCAGTCAGGTGGTGGTGGCGCACGCCTTTAATCCCAGCACCCTGGAAGCAGGAACAGGCGGATTTCTGTGAGTTCGAGGCCAGCCGGGTCTACAAGAGATAGTTCCAGGAAAGCCAGGGCTGTTACACAGAGAAACCCTGTCTTTAAAAAAATAAAATAAAAAACAAAAACAAAAACCATCTCTATGGAATCATGATAGATACTGATAGACAGTATTAAAGAAAAGACATTGAAAGCAGGACAGACAGGTGACCTAGACAGAGGAAGGGTGATAAGAATCATGGCTGAGTTTTCCACGAGAAGCTGTGAAGGCAGAAAACATTCCCAATGTATAGAAAATGCTGAAGGAGAGAACAGCTCTCAGTGCGTTCTATAGCCAGTGAAGCTGTACTTCAAAAATGAAAGCAAGACATTCCAAATAAATAACAATTCACTCCTGAAGACTTGGGTTTCACAGCATTCTGAAGGAAGTTTATGTATTGCTCGGTTGGTTCGGTTTCGTGGGGTAGGAACTGCTGGAACTCAAGCTGTGCTCAGACTGCTCAATCACATGTCTCACTGAGTCTGACCTCCTGATACTCCCATCTGGAAACTCCAAAAGCTGGGATTACAAGCATGAACCTCCATGCCTGCTGCTTTTATTTCTCCCTGAGATGTTTATGAGATCAAAGGAAATAGTACTAAGTAACAACTCAGATATAGGAAATAAACCACAAGTAGTAAGTCCAAAATAGTATGTATTACTACTGCTCGAAACATTAATTTTAAAAGAATCTGGTAAGCCACGCTTGGTAGATTGCACCTGAAATCCCAGCACTTGGGAAACAGAAGCAGGAAAACTGCCCCAAACTAAAGTCCTGCCTGGTTTATACAGTGAGTTCTAGACTAGCAATGCTACATAGGAAGACCCTGACTGGGAAAAAACTTTTTCAAAGATACTGTTAAAAATAATGAATAAATTAAAATGGTATCATTAAAAGTATTTATTATAAAGCAAGGCAAGCAAGGATGGGCAAGAAGCTTTTCTATAAAGATGTCTTAAATAAAACCTGTTGATAGTTCAAAGCATCACTCTGTCAGAAAATGCCCTGTGTTACTTTGATAGATCATGGGAAATAGTTAAGAGCATATTGTAACAGCAGAGTGGCCACATTTGGAACCTTTGCCTTGTTTGGCCAGAGGTACAATGGAAACACTGAAACATTGGAAGAAATCTGCTTGCAGTAATTCTTTTGATACTGTAATATAGTAGTGATAAAATTTGCCCCCAAACTCTTTCTCTTTGTACTATGTGTTTACTTAACGAAGTGTATATATATATCTTTAAACTTATATATTAGAATTCTAGTAACATAACTTTGTAGTCCACTGCGTTCGTCATGCTGGAAAGTGGTGCCTGTGTACTACATTATCAGATGCTTCAAGTAAGCTTCGGGTTCTCTGCTTTCTAGGAGGAAGATATTATGTCTGCCCAGGGAAAAGAGGAAGCATCGGATAGACGAGTTCAACAGTTACAGTCAAGTATAAAACAGTTAGAGTCAAGGTAATGCTTCTAACTGTGTCTCTATGCTCCATGTATGTGATATATAGTAGAGTTTCAATTTTATTTATTGGAATGGGTATTTTATAAATGCTAAATCAAAACTATAGCCATGGGCTTAAAATCTGAACATTGTTTTAAAAATTATACTATTATTATACTTTGAACATATGTTCAAAAATCATTTAGATGGCAATAGTGGCTCAAACCATTAATCCTAGCACTCAAGAGATAGAAGCAAGATCTTTGTTAGTTTGAGGATAGCTTTGTGTACATAGTGAATCCTAGAATAACTTCTATGTAGAGAGACTCTCTCAAAAAGAAAAAAAAATCATTTATATAATGCTTCTAGAGTCTAGACACCCAAGCATTGATTCGTTTCAATTTTGAGAGAACAAACACTTGCACCAAATTTAGACTAATACTTTTTTTTTGTTTTAGTTATATATTTTATGCACAAATTTCTATATATGTACAACTTCTACCATAATCAGTATATAAAAAAAAATTGCCCCAAAAGATTTTCTGTCCTCTATTTTGGTCCCAGATAACCACTGGCCTGCTTCCTACCATTACAGATATGTTCTAGCTGACATTTTTGCACATAAATGTATTTTTCCATATACATTTTCATAATTTTTTTACAACATTTCACAAATTTTCTTTTCATACATGTGTCATTTCTTCGAATACATATTTTAATTTAATTCATTCTTATGAATGATATTGCAGGGTTGCGTGACAATTGTATGTTCATTTCCTAAGGGATTGCAAACTGCACAAGTAACTGTATTTTACATTCTTACCAACAGTTTT